CCAAAAAAAAAAAAAGAAGAAGAATGAGGTCATCTTTGACATCTTGATTCCTTGCCCCAGAGGCAAGAGAGCAGGAAAGGGACTAGATTGTCACCAAGAATTAAAACAGGCCTTTAAAATAAAGTCCAGAATCTTTAATTATGGGTGGTAGAATATACTGTTAAGAACTTTAGGTGAATTATTGTAAATTCCATTTAGTAAATATGACTGAACTGAGTCTCAGGCTGGGATGGGGTGTCTGGGGACTTCCTGGTCCTGGTCCTTATTTCTCTAGGCAACTCCAAGCCTTCCACATTTCTCCAGAGCCCCAATCCCGCTCTGACGTGCACACCCACCTGGTGTGGGGGCCCCCAACCACCCTGTGCCCTCTCAGGGCTGTGGCTCTGGCTGCATGCTGGGAGGATGGGGTCCTTGCTTGTCTTCCTCAGGGCAGAGGAGTCACAGGAGAAGCAGGTCTTTCTTTTCTTAAAAATGGTCTCTTGAATAACGTCCCTGTGTGTTTTTGTTGATGGGTCCCTGTCCCATCAAGGGTGAAGATGGGGACAGGTGGGGAGGGTGGTGAGGACCGCTTTGCCATGGTGGGACGTGGTATGTGACAAGAGGGAGAAGAGCCCTGAGGCCCACACGTGGGAGTGGAACCGTGGATGTGTGAACAGTGACTGGTGAATGGCAGGGACCAGCAGGGCCCTCAGGTCTCTGGACCGTGGTGGAGTGTGTGGCCTGTGACCGGGAGAGGCACGAGGGGATGGCACTGTGGTCCCTACACAGTTACTCGGTAAAGACCATTCACTCCAAGGAGCCAGGGCCTCCGGCTAGGCCCTGGGCTCACTAATGGGGGGACTCAGCAGCTGGGTCCTCTCTGGCCCAGCAGAGTTCCTGAGCAGGGACCTTTGCATGGTCTCGGCAGGTGCTTCCTCTCCGGGCTCCCCCGATGGATAATGCAAACCTTCTCCCTCCTGGGCCTGCAGCGTGAGCCCAGCCCAAGCCCCGGGGCTCAGGGAGGGCTGGGCAGTCCCAGACAGAAACGCATCTGCAGAAGCAGCCCCTCCTCTGGAGAGGGTGGAAGGAAAGGAGGCATGGGCATTCCCACCCCATGCTGGGGTCAGGGGCTGAGTCCACCGGCCTGGGCTGCTCTCCTCGTGCTCCTCGCTCACTGCACAGGTCTGGCAGGCCTTGAAGACCAGATTTCAGTTCCCAGCTTGTGTCAGCTCCTGCGCCTCAGACCCCCTGAGCCTTACACTAGTGTGTGCCCACACTCACCCGTCTGCGCCTGTAGGCTCCCTCTCCTGGCCTGTGCTGACTTGGCCACTCCCTGCCTGTGCATCCCCGGGGGTGTCTCAGGCTCACCTGCACCCTGTGCTGACTCAGCCACTCCCCACCTGTGCGTCCCCGGCGGTGTGTCAGGCTCACCTGCACCCTGTGCTGATACGGCCGCTCCCTGCCTGTGCGTCCCCGGGTCATCTCCTCACCTGCACCCTGAGCAGTGGCTTCCATGTCGGTGACTGTATGACATGATGGGACACCTCCCTGGTTCCTCCTGAGATACGACCCAGAACTCAGGCAAGTACCAGGGCTCCGGCTGAGTCTGATTTTCACTGAGCTACCACTCTTGGCAGTGGAAGCTGCTTTAGCTCCTCACCGTGTTGACAAAAAGTGTGTAAGACAAAACCCCTGGACCCAGAGACAGTGGCTGCGGGTGTCTTTCCACTAACTTCTGTGGAGCCCCTGAGGAGCCGCCTGCCTCAGTGAGACATGCCCACGAGCAGGAGAGAGACAGGCAAACAGGTAGTGCCTGATCACAAGGCAGCCTCGGGCATCTGAGGAACGCACAGACGGACCAGGCAACCCAGCCCAATGCCCAGCCCTCTAGGATCTGGACTAAATTAGTAGGAGTCAGAACTGTTTTCTGTGCCTGGAAATTCCGATCAGTACAGCCACATCCATCCGCACATGCGCTTCAGCATCTGATTCCGCACAGGGAGCCTGGTGTGTCCAGTGATGCGTCCAGGGCTGACACGTCGGCACTCACCCTGCACAGGGACACACTCTCCTCTGTCCCAGCCAGACGACACGTGAGGGGTACATGGCCACTAACCACCCTCACTGCAAACAGCCCCCAGACTCACCCTCCTCTTCTCTCCATGGCCGCTGCCTTCCTCAGGCCTCTCGCTGTCTCCTAAGGCTCTCGGGTCTTAACCCAGCTCCACGTGCCCCTGCTCCTGCTGTGGGTTCCCTTCTCCAGGGACTCCTCTCCAGGGAGGATGATCTCCAGGCATCAGAGCAGCCCACGGCCCTTCACAGGATGACTCCTCCTCCCAGCCCCGTGGCCAGGCTCTCTGCTCTGCACCCTAGGCCAATCTCGTTAATAAGACAGTAAATTCTTGCTGATTTCCTACAAATGCTGTGTTCCTCCAGCCCGAGAGTGTTTGCAAATGGAGGCTGTTGATGCATTTCTTCTTTATTATTTCTCTTTTTTCTTTCTTTTTGTCTCCTTTCCAATGAACTAACCTCCCTGGGAATTGCCTAAGGCCCTACACAAGGTGAGAAGTGGTCTCAGCAGATGGAGGGTGGGCAGCGTCTCTTAGTGCAGGGCGCTGTTACGTTTTAGCTCCGCAATTAGTTTTCCTAGAACTCCCAGGACAGCACCTCAGCCACACAAACCATTTGGCACAGGCCCCTGAAGTCGCTTGCATGAGTCCTTTTACAATATAAAAGCAGAGAATCTCTCCTGGTTACCCACTGAGTGACAGCTGGTGATGGCAGGGCATGGTGGGCATGGCTGTGGTGCGGGGAGCAGGAAGGTGGGTCTGTGAGGTCCCCGCTGCCCTGGGCTTCCTGAGACCCGAAGTCCCCACAGCTGTGGGTCTTGTGCCTGCAGCCCACACCTGCAGGGAAGACAGCGGATGGTGTCTGACACTCTGTGGGACCTGGCACTCTGAGGAAGGGGAATTGTGAACATTGGCTCATCTGCTCTACATTCCTCCTCCCTACCGAAAACATAAACTGCTCCGAGACAGGTCTCACAGAGAAGAACCAGCCCAGAGACGGATGTGTGTGGAGAGCTGCCCTCTGGGTGTGGGGAGGTGCTGGGAGGAACGGAGGCCACTCACACCTGCCTTGGAGGGAAC